TACCACAAGCTGGGGGGGCAGGCTGGGCTCTGGCTGCTCTGAGGTGCTGCAGCCTGGCCTACCTCCCCCTTTCCTGGAGTCTGAGCTCAGAGGTCACCCTGCCGTGACCTGGCTTTGGGAGGAGACGTACTCCGAGACGTTTCCCAACAGCTCCTGCATACAGCAGAGCCGCAGACAGCACGGGGCTCCCGCGGTCCCAGCAAAGCCCCCAGGACACCAGAGCTGCTTCGTGGCAGAGAGATGACGCAGGTCAGGGCGTAGTGCAAGTATTGCTCAACACAGCCTTGAGTATCAGATACTACAGGTTTGATAGAGGAGTGACTTAGTTACCCATTTCTGACTGCGACCGTGAGATCAACCGACACGAGCCACCGATCCCACTCCGCCGCTCTGCGCTGTCAGCCCGGATGAAGACAAAAGCCAGTCAGCAGAAGCTCGTCCCTCCCTCCTCAAACCCAAACAGCCTCGGGTTGTTTTCCCTCAGGAAACAAGCTCTGGCGACAAGCCCTTCTCCAGAGCTGTGGATCAGGCAGGACACAGGGAGCTGCCCGGGGTCACCTGTGTCACTCATTTCCCGAGATGCCTCTTCCTGTGATGAATCTCACCTCAGCTTTAGTGTGGAAGCCGGTCAGTGCACGGGGGTTGACAAGGGGACACCAAGTCACTCCAGAAAGAGGGAATTTCTCAAGGAAACGGAAGCTGTTCACCAGCAGCCCCAGTTCACGTGCGACAGGAGGGCACAGGGAGGAAAGGAAACGGCCTTTGAACACGCTTTACGGGTGTGCAGCCCCGCACACAGGCACACTGCTTGCCCTCAGCGACAGCGACGCCACACTGCTTCCCAACTGCCACCTCAAAACACCACCACGAGCAACCCCCGACCTTGGAAATCCCTCCGGAGAGTACCACCAGCGCAGGCTGCCCGGCTGAGCTGGCCTCACCGGAAGCCACCAGAAACAACTCTGACATTTAAAATGGTCTTTTATTCCTCCCACTCTGCCCCAGTGAGTCCTTTCCAGGCAAGGGAAAGCTGAAGCGTTGATGCAGGTGCCGGACAACAACCACGGAGCCTCCTTACCTTCCTATGACACAGGTTTCGGAGCACCACACTTCTCCCAGCAAGTTTCACTGGGGTCTAAGCCACGCTGCTGCACCCCAGCCTGCACTCAGAAACTGCCCCAAGCGCGGAAGGGACATCGCTCATCTCCAGCACCACCCACACTGGCACAATACACCGGAGTTTAAAACACCCGAATCTAGCGCTTTAGCTCATCTCGTGAGATCTCGGCGACTCTCACGCCACAGAAGAGTGATAAAAAGAAACGAAGCCAAGACTACCTTTCCCAGCAAGGCTTTTCCTGCTTCAAAATACCACGGGAGCTGCTCCTGCCACACGGCACCAGGCAGAGCAGCTCCAGAGGGAAGCGCTGTGCCCAGGCACAAAGCTTTCGGCACCAATGGGAACAACCTGGGAGTGTCACCACACCAGTGGCACAACTTCTATGGCACAGGCAGTGGCGCAGATGCTTTGAAAGGGAAATCCTCGGCATGCAGGCTCAGAGAGCGGTCACCTCTGTCTGGCCCGGGGAGAGGTAGTCGAGACGTGACAACGGCTCAGCCAGAAGCAGCATGCAGCAACGCTGACCCTGCTTTACCACGAAAGTCAACTCCCCCACACACAGCCACACAAAAACCTGTATCAGATAGAACATGGAATCCAGTACATTCATCCCAGATTTCTCCAGAGCGCTGGCATGCCGCCTGCCAGGCAGCCTGCTCTCACAGCGTCGCTTCCACTGAATCGCGCTGTTCATTTCCACAAAAGCACCTCAAAACGAGGGTCACTCCCACTCTCTTCACTTCCCCTCACTCTGTAAAAGGCCACCCTCGACCTCACGTGCTTTGGGGATTCCTGGTCTCCCCACCCCGCCTTCTCAGAGGTGGCAAGCGGGAGGTGACGAACAAGGCACAGCGCTCTACGTTCGCAGCAGCGGCGCCCTCGCTGGCGTTAGGGCGTCCTTCCATATTCCAGGTGTTAACAGAGCAGAGGGAAACTGGCAAAACGCTTTCCCAAGAGGAGCGTGTGTGCCTCCACTGCACTCCCACCCACCAAGGGACAACCTGTCATGGGAAGCACCAGGAAAAATGCAGGAAGGGACGTGCCATTTGCTGCCACTACACACAGACGGGTAAGTGCAAGCTGCCACCCGGCCACGGACCTTCCCAGCTACGCTCATGGGTGACACTAGTGGGTTAAAAACCTCTGCGTGGCCTTCCCATCTCCCCTCTGGTCGCCAGCCTGGCTCCACGGAAGGGACCAACGGCGTTTAGGGCTCTGGCAGAAGCGTGCGGAGCACTGTGTTACTCTAGGGGCTGCACACTAGTAAGTACTGATCCCCAAGACAGCCCACCTCTCCCTCCGTGCCGGAATCCCCCTGGGATGCTGCTCTGAAAGTTAGCAGTGCCCCTCCTAACACGTAAAAACAGGACACCTGGTGTTTTATGTGATGGAAGGTCTACGTTCTCGGCTACAGGGAGCCACACAGAAATCTGGTCCCTCAGACACCGATTTCTGCGGAGCGGAGACGCTTGCGGACACATCGG